CAAGAGATCTGTTGTCTTGTTGTTTGTTTGTTGTTATTGGGTCATTGTGTCTTATTCAGTAATCTTCACAGTGAGTTTACTGAAATCAGATTAGTTTTATTATCGATTATCGAACTGATTGGATTATCGATTTAGATCATGGATTATATAATTAAATCAGTTTGGATTTAAGAATTAGACCATTACCGAAAGCCAATGTTGTTGATAAAGTTATTAAATTGTTTATAGCAGCTGTAAACCTGGTCTAATATAAAACACTGACAAATCATTCCACTTTCAACTACACTTCACTTCTAGACTCCAGTCAGTTCTCACAAGCATCAACATGAGAGAAATCGTTCATATGCAAACTGGTCAATGTGGTAACCAGATCGGAGCTAAGGTAATTACCACTTCAATATTCCAATATCTTGTTCAATATCCAATCGATACCAATGAGTTTGAAGGTGCACAATTGTGGAAGTGTTTTATAGACCCACCGTTCCTTTCTATTGTATTTGTCAACCAAGCTAATTTGTGGTTCGAAGTAAAGTTATCTACTGACGAAAACTATTTTTTAAGTCACTTGGAAAATTCTAATTGAATATCAAAATACATGTACCCACAAATGATTTAATATTGATATTAAAAAAGATCTGTCATCTTTACTTCCAGTTCTGGGAAGTGATCTCTGATGAACATGGTATTGACCCAACTGGAACTTACCACGGTGATTCTGATCTTCAGTTGGAGATAATCAACGTTTATTACAATGAAGCTACCGGAGGTAAATATGTACCCAGAGCTGTTCTCGTCGACTTGGAACCTGGCACCATGGATTCTGTAAGATCAGGACCTTTTGGCCAGATCTTCCGTCCAGATAACTTTGTCTTCGGACAATCTGGTGCCGGAAATAACTGGGCTAAAGGTCATTATACAGAAGGTGCTGAATTGGTAGATTCCGTTCTTGATGTTGTCCGTAAAGAAGCTGAAAGCTGTGATTGTCTACAAGGATTCCAGTTGACCCATTCTCTGGGTGGTGGAACTGGTTCTGGTATGGGAACTCTCCTCATCAGTAAAATCCGAGAAGAATATCCAGATAGAATCACGAACAACCTTTTCTGTTTGTCCTTCACCAAAGGTAAGTTATTAATTAATTATCTCGACAGTATCAAACGTAGTAGACAATTTTGTATTTCCTCAATCTTGTTTTCTATATTGGTTAAAAACATACACACAAATCAAAAGTTAATCGATATATTTTTTGCAATTTCAGGTATCTGATACAGTTGTGGAACCTTACAACGCCACCCTCTCAGTTCATCAACTGGTAGAAAATACAGACGAGACTTACTGTATTGATAATGAGGCTCTATATGATATCTGTTTCCGTACCCTCAAACTGACCACACCCACTTACGGTGACCTCAACCATCTGGTATCAGCCACAATGTCTGGAGTGACCACATGTCTCCGATTCCCTGGTCAACTCAACGCCGATCTCAGAAAGCTGGCCGTCAACATGGTACCTTTCCCCCGTCTTCATTTCTTTATGCCAGGATTCGCTCCTCTGACCTCTCGAGGTTCCCAGCAATACCGAGCTCTGACTGTACCCGAACTCACCCAACAGATGTTCGATGCCAAGAACATGATGGCTGCCTGTGATCCCCGTCATGGTCGTTATTTGACAGTAGCTGCCATGTTCAGAGGTCGTATGTCCATGAAGGATGTGGATGAACAAATGTTGAACGTTCAGAATAAGAACAGCAGCTACTTTGTTGAATGGATTCCCAACAATGTTAAAACTGCTGTTTGTGACATTCCACCAAGAGGTCTGAAGATGTCTGGAACATTTATTGGTAATACGACAGCCATTCAGGAACTATTTAAGTGAATCTCTGAACAGTTTACAGCTATGTTCAGAAGAAAGGCTTTCCTCCATTGAATCCTGCTGAATCCAACATGAATGATCTGGTATCTGAATATCAACAGTACCAGGATGCTACAGCTGAAGAGGAGGGAGAATTTGATACAGAAGAAGGGGAGCAAGATGAAGCTTAAACTAAACGCAATGTTTATTTTATTATTTATTAAACTTGTTATTTCAAAACAGTAAATCGAGTTTTACTCTCTTTGTTCTGCACATGAAAAGTTTCAGGTAAAAATCCTGCTGTTCATGATTTATGTTTGGTTTGGAACACATTTTAGCTGGACAACTTCATCTAGTTCAATATGAGCTCTTCTGTAGTACTCCTCTTTTGAAGGGAATGTAAAGAGGTTTTCTAGCTTTTTTATGTGTATTTGGGCCATTAATAATTCCCATATTCTATTTTTTCGGTTAGATGTACAAAACGCCTAATTGTAGTGGAAATGCAATTTGAAACATCTCATTGAAATGGTCGAAATCTATGCTATCATTGTCCGTGATACATATACAAGTTTAGAAACCTCTTTACAATCTCTTAACAAGTTGACCAACAAATATTTTAGTTCCTTTATTAAACCACTATTTATTGACATATTTCATTCACATACAACATAATTTATATTGACATCTCATAAACATAGTCATAAAATCTGAAATCTAAAAAATATTTTGATTTAAATTTCCATTCATAAACAAATTGTAACAAATATGTCAGTACATATATAAATAGATAATACAGATTCATGCAGAAAGAAAACTCAATTTGGCACTTTTATGGCAGATTATATCTTGCTAGCAAGAGTAGGCTAAAACCTTTATATATAAGGTAGTTCATTTGGAGTTTTATGCAGGATAAATTGAAAATATACTGGCAAAATCCAGAACAAATGGTGGTTGTGGGTTCTCATCTTGGCACGTGTAAGTCTGGTGACATGTCAGAATAGTTTAAAGTAACAGTAAAGATCAATGCCAAGAAGTTTGGCCAAGGATCAGCTGGTTTTATTTATTTTGATCTGTTCAAATTTATTTACAGCCAATTTGATTATATTTATAATAATTTTAAATTTATAATAATGATGAAAGATCACTTATTTAAGGTCACTAGATATTTAGGTTCATTGCCGACTGATATTATAACCCACAACCTCCATAATTTCGATGTATTCAAGCAAGTGTGCTAATTAACAGTGCTACAGCTAAGGTTGATTATAATAATATGATTTATTCAAGGACACAAGACATTCACACTCTGACTGATATAAGAATCAACAACCACCATAATTTTTATTGATCATAGCAAATGTTCTACTGCACAGTGGTAAGAGTTGATTATTTAACCACTCATTCACAATTAAATCAGAATGACATGTCTATTAAAAGAAACATAGTAATCAGTATACAGTGGAGCCTCGTTTATCCTCGTCATCGTTTGAAGCTAAACCTTTGTGGGGGGGTCAATGAAATGGTGGAGTATGTTTGTGAACCTGGATATTTCCCGTCAATCAACCCAGTTTGTACCGAAGATGGAACGTGGAGTGAGTTTGTCTGTTCACCGTATTTTAAATGTAGTGAAATTAGAAAATGTAATGACAGTATGGAAGAAAAGGATTATTGGCTGTATGCTGCCGATTACCAAACTCGAGTCAAATTGTTCTGTATATGGGGTGTGGGTGCATTTGTCAGTCTTCAACATTCGAACATGGGGTCCTTCTTGGAATACACGATAACAGGAACAGACTGCGCAACGAGTCCATTAGATAACCCAGAGACCAAGGGAGCTGGAACAACAGAATTTCAAAAAATAAAATTGCAGATACCCCAAGGTTATAAAATAATTGTTTATATTCATTTCGTCACAAATAGTTCTTTAAAGCCCACATATTATGGTTCAGCTAAAGATTGTTACCCTAAAGATAATGGTTGTGGAGTTCTGGGAAAATTTGTTATCGACACCCGAGGGACGGGCTTCAAGTTTCCAGACTCTCTGACGTGGAAAACCGTGGGGATATCAGCAGTGATTGGAAATATAACCCGGTCTATGGGTGGTCATGTGATAACAGGATTCTGTGGGGGAGATTGTGGTGGATACGAAGTCGATGAAACCGGAAATGGAACTCATCTGCAGATAGATATAAACGATATGCCGCCGTTCAAAACAGCAGAACTGTCAATTTCTGGTTTAATTGTTAAACAATTCGTATAATGTGTAATACCCAGAGCTTAGTGTTACCTGAAGTTTCAGGAATTTATTTACATCTCAACCACAAAACGGCAGTATTGAAGTATTTCCTTTGATCTTTTCGTTGTATTAACAAAAGGGAGGAGTTTAGGTTTGCTATAACTAGGTTTAAATTTGTGAATTCTTTAATTCAAATAATTTATTCAGTAATCAAATTTTGATTAGGTTTAATATTCTTCTCCCTCTTCTTCTCCTTCACCTTCAACAGAATCAACTCCAACTTCTTCATAATCTTTCTCTAGAGCAGCTAAATCTTCTCTAGCTTCAGAGAATTCACCTTCTTCCATACCTTCACCAACATACCAATGAACAAAAGCTCTCTTGGCATACATCAGATCAAATTTATGATCAAGACGAGCCCAAGCTTCAGCAATAGCAGTCGTGTTACTCAACATACAAACAGCTCTCTGGACCTTGGCTAAATCACCTCCTGGTACAACAGTTGGTGGTTGGTAGTTGATACCGACTTTGAAACCAGTTGGACACCAGTCAACAAATTGAATAGTTCTCTTGGTTTTAATGGTCGCAATAGCAGCGTTGACATCCTTGGGAACAACATCACCTCGGTACAACATACAGCAAGCCATGTATTTACCATGACGAGGATCACATTTGACCATCTGGTTGGCTGGCTCGAAACAAGCATTGGTGATTTCAGCTACAGAAAGTTGTTCATGGTAGGCTTTCTCAGCAGATATGACTGGAGCATAGGTAGCCAATGGGAAATGGATACGTGGGTATGGAACCAAATTGGTCTGGAACTCAGTAAGATCGACATTCAAGGCACCATCAAATCGAAGTGAAGCAGTGATGGAGCTGACGATTTGTCCAATCAATCGGTTCAGATTGGTGTAAGTTGGTCTTTCAATATCAAGATTTCGTCGACAGATGTCATAGATAGCCTCGTTGTCCACCATGAAGGCACAATCGGAATGTTCCAGTGTGGTATGGGTTGTAAGGATGGAGTTGTATGGTTCTACTACAGCAGTTGATACTTGTGGAGCAGGATAAACAGCAAACTCGAGCTTGGATTTTTTGCCGTAATCGACGCTCAGTCTTTCCATCAACAAGGAAGAGAAACCAGATCCGGTTCCTCCGCCAAAGCTGTGGAAGATGAGGAATCCTTGAAGACCAGTGCATTGGTCAGCCAGCTTCCTTGTTCTGTCAAGGACCAAGTCTATCAGTTCTTTGCCCACTGTGTAGTGACCTCGAGCGTAGTTATTGGCAGCATCTTCTTTACCAGTGATGAGTTGTTCAGGATGGAAGAGTTGACGGTAAGTACCAGTTCGGACTTCATCTACAACTGTTGGTTCCAGATCAACAAATACAGCTCTTGGAACATGTTTACCAGCTCCAGTCTCACTGAAGAAAGTGTTGAAGGAATCATCGCCACCTCCAATAGTTTTATCAGAAGGCATCTGACCATCAGGTTGGATACCATGTTCTAGACAGTACAACTCCCAACAGGCATTGCCCATCTGGACACCAGCTTGACCAACATGAATAGAGATACACTCGCGCTGAAAGGAAAGAATGTATATGTGAGAAGAAAGGGGATATGTAGGGGGGTTGACCCATAAAAAGCAACAATGTATCAATATACACATGTACATGTACATCGG